TTCAATGCAAACCCATATTTATTGCTGCATTATTTACAACAGGAAATAACCCAAATACAAATTGAGAGAAAAATTATGTTATAGCCCCACAATGGAATACTATGCAGCACTGAAAAATAATGAACTGGTAAAACATTACACAACATGGGTGACTCTGGAAGACATTATGCTGAATGAAATGTCTTAGTCTCAAAAGGACAAATATTGCATAGCACCACTGTTATGAAGCAGGATTTACAAGGGGGTTGGAAGGAGAATAGGAAAAGAGTGGTGGATGGATGGAGACTCTGAGTCCCAGGAGTCTGTGTGGGCAGCGCCAGCTTTAAATCTCAGAGTTTGGCATGAGGGCTGTGCAGACACAGGGAAAGAGTGGATGGATAATGAACACTATTGGAATAGATGAGGGAGATAACTGTTTAAAAGGAATATATGATAGGCATTACATGTAAGACAACAGTCCAGAATAAGAGGTACATTGCAAAAATAAGACTCGGAGGGGATGGGGGAGGGGAAGAAGGGGTGAGTGGAGGAAATCGTGAATATTTTTTTAAAAAGAGAGTGAACTGGGGGAGCAGGAAGGGCAGAAAAGGGAGGAAAATGTGCAACAATGAGTGAATGAAAATACAACTTTTCTATAAACTTTCGTTAAAATCACAATTAGAATTTTTTTAAAAAAGACCCTCAACAAGATGGATTTGCACAGTGATTGTAATAATGGGCTTGTGCACGGCAAGGATTGTGAGGATAGTGTAAAATGGGGAAAGGTTTCGATCTGTTCATAGAGTAGCCATGAGTTGTTGTGTCAATAACAAGTTGAAATAAGTTGCAGATGTCAGAATACTTCACCACTAATGCTTCTGCATACAACTCCAAAAAGATAAAGTCAATCTCTTTCATAACTATTATCATCATTACCATGATCAAGAAAATTAGTAAGTCTGCAATATCATCTCATATACAATCCATATTAAAATCTACCCAATTATCCCTAAGCTATCTTTTAGGGTTTCCGTCCCCCCCCCCCTTACCTAGGTTCTAATCAAAGTTCACATATACTAATTAGTGGTTCAAGGGCTCTGGTGGCTTAATGGTAAAGAGTTGTGCTGCCAACCCAAAGGCACATAGTTCGAATCTACTAGCTGCTCAGTAGGAGAAAAATAGGCAATCTCCCTGCAAGTGACTTACTATCTCTAAAAACCCATTGTGGGGTCAGGTATTAGTAAATTCTGACTCAGCAGTTCACAACAGCAATTATTTGTTACTAATGATTTTAGTTTTAAAACTTTTTAAGTATCTTACTCTCAAAAGTAATTCTCTTTTCCTTTCTCATAACATTAATATTTTTAAAAGAGTCTAGGCAAATTGTTTTGCAGAAGGTCATTAATATTAGGTAGAATTTTTCTTTTCTTGATTAGATTTAAGTTAAATCTAATTTTTTTGAGAGGAACTATACATAGATGAAGTTATGAACATCTAAGTACATGAGAAGATTTTGAACTGAAAAGGCAGGAAGGGATAGGAAAGAAGGCTGCATGAAAACAGGAAACTATGAGCAAGTGGAAAATGTACTTACTGTTGGAATGTACAGATAGCAATGAAGATACAGAAACAAAATGTGTATGGATTGTTGAAGGAAAACCTGTTTGTCCTGGTACCTTTCATTCAAGTCATAATAAAAAGTTTAAAAAGCACAGGAAACTTCCGACTAGTGCTGTTAAACTTGTGCGGTTGGTTATGGTGGGAAACTCCTGATCTCTCCATGGTAAGAAGCCAAATGAAACCAATCTAGGGCAGTGGACTTGATTCCAACTCATATCGACCTGTATCCATTTCTGAGGCTGTAAATCTTCTGTTTGTCTGTTCATGTAAACTTATTTTATTTTAGTGAAAGTCATACTGGGTTTTATTCACTTATTTATATGCATTTTGTCTTATAGCATTAATTATCATTTGTTCATGTAATTAATTTATTACAATGCTTCATCAACCCCTCATTGTATATTACCTTTCCCTTCACCCAATTTATCTATTTATTAATTTTTACTCCTCTCTCCCTAATTTCCCATTCTAGTTAACCATCCAAGAATGAGTCTAATTGTATGCAAACCTTTCTTTAGCTTTTAAATAGCAATTTTATACCATAATTGTCCTTTTATGATTTACTTGTGTCACTCAGTATAATTCTCTCTAGACTCATCCATATTGTTCAATGCTTCATGAATTCCTTACCAATTTTTAGTGATCCATAAGACTCTATTGTGTAAATGTACCATAGTTTTTTTAGCCATTCATCTGTTGATGAGACACGTGGATTGTTCTCAACTCCCTGCTATTGTAAATCACACAATAAAAATGAATGTATATATGAGTCTGTGTCACAGCTTTTCTTTAGGATAGATACCTGTATTGGGATTGCTGGATCAAATGTTATTTCTCTTCCCAATTTTCAAAGGAAGCACCAAATCACTTTCCACAGTGGCTGGACCATCAGCAGTGTATGAGAATTCCAATCTCTCTGCACCCTTGCCAACATTTGTTGTTTGGCAAGGCTGAACATCCTAATGGGAGCGTATTGTTTATCTTTATTCCTCCGAGCTGCTCGCTGGTGGGACCTATTGCTTAGTAGTCCAATTGGTAACACGTGATGTCACCACTGCTCCTTAGTTTAAGAACACACTTCCCAAAGTGATCTGTGAGATACCCTGAATCAACATAATGAAAATTCTATTTCACACCGATCTTTCAACCAAAGGGGGTTTTTATTGTTTTGTTTTGTTTTTTGAGATGGACTGACAGTGACAACAACAATGGACTTGAACATGATGCAGATCATGACAATGGCGAAGGATACTGCAAGGTTCAGTTCTGTTGTTCACAAGGTCAGTAGGAGTTGTAGTTAATTCAATGGCACCTAATAAAGAGTCTGCCTGAATCAGTTCTTAAGTTACAGTTTGCACAACACTGATTTTCCATGGAAAAAAGGTGGGCAATCTCCTCCCATGTTATTTACAGCCTCTGAAACCTGCTGGAAGGTCAGCCGTGAGTCTGTTTCTAAAAGCAGCAATGAGTTAGCATGCCTTCTATTGTGTGTTTATTTTTTTTTCTAACGACCATACTCATCCTCTTTAGGTCTCTGGTTAATTCTTGCTAGGGCTTTCTCCTCCCTTAGCTGACCTAGGCGGTCGCTTATTCCTCCCTTAACTGCTGGCCTTACGATTTCATATACAGTAAACTGAACAACAATATGCTACCAACCAACTATGTCACCTACCAACTTTGAGGAATTTTCAAAACTTAAGGCAACTGTAATGCATATTTATTGCATCAGCCTAAACAGTGAAAAGATTGATTTTGTTTCTGTCTTATTTTTTACTAGCAGATAGCATAAGCCCTGGAAAATCGTTCCTCCTCACCAGGGCAAAGCCTGTCACAATTAGGCTTTGTGTCATGTTGTTAAACACAAGCATCCCCTCTCTTTAGTTTTCTGATAGGAGAATACTGGTAGGAGAGGCTTAGAAATCATTTAGCACAAAGCCCCATTTTACACAAAGGTGAAAGGACTTGCTCAGGGTTCCTCAACAACTTGAAAGCAGAGCTACCCCTGGAACCATATTTTTTTTTAATTTAGGTTGTTTATTTTTCATTTCAATGAACACCTACAGAGATTTTGGAATTCTATTCATTCATTGTTGCACCCTTCTCCCCGCACAAACCCCCC